CGCAGTCCCGGCCCCGTTTAACGCTTGGGCCCTGCCGCCGCGGGCTTGTCAAAGCCGCGGAAAGTGCTGCGTTTGCCGCCCGCTCCGCCCTACTCCGCCTCCCGGCGCCGGGTCAGGTGGGGGCCACGTGCGAACCAGCGGGGCGGGGCTCTGACCGCGGCCTCAGCACTGGCAGACTGAAAGGGCAGTATGTGCGGGGGGGCGGGGTGCGGTAGGGAGGTAGACCTGCGTTCGAGTCCCACCCCTCTCTCAGGCCCGCTGTTTCCTCCTTTGTTCTTCGCGAGAATCGAGCGTACACAGCGTGGTGTGGTCTGGGAAAGTCCTATAAGGCGATGGCGTGGGCATAGTGAAGCCTCTGGCGAGCTTGAGAGCGGGAGGGTGGGGGAAGGAGAAGCTGGCCCCCTCCCGCCGAACCCTGGGGCGTTGTCATTCCGAAGATGCGAGTGCCCCGACACTGACCCCAGCAGCCGCACCAGTGGAAGTAAACCGTGAGGTCTCGAACTCTCCCACCCCTGCCCGGACCGCCCCTCCGGCCTCTGCTTGTTCTCCTCCCTCACCCTTCAGAGCGGACCCGGCCTTTCACAGGACGTAGAGATACTGCTTGATTTATTTCACACTCAACCCTGAGGCATGCTTTGAACCAGTGCCCTCCCTCCTCCCACGCCGGGGCCGCCGAGCAACGTTTGCAGAGGACTGGGGTTGGAGGAGGGTGATCCCCGTATGGCGGGGACAGTGGGTGTCTGCAGATGTTGACAGCAACGAGTGGACTCAGGTTGCTCCGGGCTGGTACTGACGCCATCCCACAGCCCCCAATTCTCGAGAGGGACAAGAGACAACAGAGTCCTAAAGGAGCGGACTAGCAGCTGACGCGCCCCGGGGCAAACCCACGCAGCATCTCAGAGGCCACACGTCCGCAGGGAGGGGAAAGAGGGTTTGTCGCCTCACGCCACAAGCGCGGGCCGCCAGGGATGCGGCTCCCGCGTTAGCTTGAGCGTGTAGCTGCGCAGGCGCGAGCAGTGCGTGCGGAAGGCGTGCAGCACGGAGGGTCGCACCACGCAGAAGCAGTGCACTTCGCGCAGGCCCGCGCAGCGCTCTGCCAGCTCCTCCAGCGCGGCGTCCAGCTCGGCAGAGGCGGCAGCGCGTACCTCGAGTGCGCGCAAGGTTGCGGCGTAGTGGCGCGCTGCGAAGCGCACTGGGCCTACGGTGTCCCCAGAGAGGCTGAGGCGCAGCGCAGCCACGGGCACAGCAGGCTGCAGGACGCGTGTCACGCTCTCGGCAGGCAGAGCCGGCTCCAGCTCCAACTCTACGGCCAGTCCAGGGTGGCGGCGGCTCAGCTCGGCCCAGGCTTCGTTAGGCAGGGGGGACGCGCGTGCGTCTTCGGGACATGCGCACCGCAGGGCCAGGAGCTCAAAAGGTGCGCGTTCTGGCGCCGCCAGTGCCTCGAGCGCGGTGCGCGACAGGCTGGCCAGGTGCAGGCCGAGGGCGCGCAGGCAGGGGCAGGCCTCTAGTAGCTCCAGCACGGAGCCTGGCCCCACGCTGCCCACCAGCGTACTGTTATCCAGGAAAAGGCTGCAGAGCTCCGGGCAGCCGTGTGCCACCTGCAGCACCAGCGCGTCGTCCAGTGTGAAGGGCAAGCGCCTTAGATCGAGGTGGCGCAGCGCGCGGGCGGCCCTACAGAGGGCGTGCACGGCGTCCAGGACGTCGCGACCCGAGTCGAAGAGCCGCTTTTCTCCGCGGCACTCCAGGCACAGGCCTCGCAGCTCGGGGTTACGGCCAGCCAGTGCGGTCAGCAACTCTATGGCCGCCAGGCGGCTCGGCTCCCTGGACGGCACAAATTCCAGACGTAGATTCTGAACGTGGTCCAGGCAAGCGGACAGGTACTGCGGCTGTATGCCTTCTAGCTCACAGTCGCAACTTGGGGGTAGAGTGGTGGAGAAAAGGCATCAGCCGGCCGGGTCCCCGCGACCTGGAGAGAGGCCTCTAACCCACCACTCAGCCTGGGTTCCAGTTACCATCCCCACTTCCTGCCCCCTCCCCACATACCTCCCTGTCCCGACCATGCCTGGTCGCTCCAAGGTGATGCTAGAAGGGAACTCCCATCCTATCCATTTAGAAGACTTCAGATGCATCTGCCGCTGGTTGAAACCTTGCCACGGAGAGCCAATGATATTTTAAGAACAGGGCTTTCTCAGCGGTCTTTAAGGAGGCGGGGCGTGGCCTCTGGATTGCCAGGTTCACATTTGCCTCTGCTACTTCTCAGCTGAGTAAGGAAGTAATTAAATCTCTCTGCCTCAATTTTCTATCTGTGCAACGGAGATAATTATACCACCTATCTACCACATAAAGTTTAAGTGAGGATTAAATAAATTAATATGTGTAAGGCACTTAGAACAATGGTTGGTACACAGTTGGTGGCCAATAAATGTTAGAAATTATTACACTTTATTTTGGGGGGGTGCGTGCATGTGGAATCTTAGTTCCCTGACCAGGGATCGAACTCATGCCCCCTGAATTGGAAATGCCCAGTCAACCACTGGACCGCTGGAAGTCCTGATTACGCTTTTTAATATGGGGAGAGTCACTGTATCTCCCCAAGCCCTGACTCCACCGAGCCAGGGAGAAGGCGGGAGGGGGAGGAGCCTGCTCACCTGATGTTCGTGTTGTGCCACACAGTGCTGCAGGTGGCAGCGGCAGCCCAAGCTCTGCAAACCCTCGCGGCAGCGGCGCGGTCCCGCAGGGGCAGGTGACGGAAAATGAGTGCCAGCACCTCCTCCGGCAGTTGTTCTCCAGGCTCTGCCATGGCCGGGCGCGGGGTGGGGGTTCCGCTGCAGGAAGGCCAAAGTGTTGAGGGAAACACCTGGAGCCTACGTGTAGAAATGCTTGTAGCCCAGGAGCTGCTATGTAATTTTCAGAGCCCAGTGCAAAATGAAAATGTGGGTCTCTTTGTTCAAAACATTATTAAGGGTTTCAAGACAGTGACAGAAGAGCATTTAACCAAGTTATTAAACCAAGCCTGGGGCCCTGTGCAGTGCACAGGTCTCAGACCCATGAAGTCTGCCCTGGATGCCGAGGATCTCTGATTCTCCTTTAAACTACGTTCTCACTTGTTGAGCAAGTCCACATTTTATGCTATATTAGAAGGAACTCAACCACGACCGGTGCACCACGCTGATAAAGCCGAATACCGGATTTGGGATGATGCTATGGGATCTTTCTTCTAGTTACCAAAGTTTTCTCTGAGCAAGTTGGAAGGCGGATGCACAGGCTCTGACTCCAGACAACCACGTCCTCCCCCCAGCTCAGAGGGCCCCTCTTGCCTCCCCCTGCCTCCCTCTACTACACGCTTACAGCCTCCAGATGGCCCAGACTAGTCTCACAGGGGTCACTGAACAGCTTCCCTCCCAATTTCGACCCTGAGTACTAGGGGAGGACTAAGCCCAAGCACCGAGGACCATTGAGGCATTCTCAAAGGGCGCGGGGCATCAGAATCACTTGGACACTTGTTCACACTACAGATTCCACGGCCCCACCTAGTAAGTTAGGCTCTCCGAAAAGGGTAGGGCCCAGGAATCTGAATTTCAACAAGCGCCCGTGGATTCTACAGGTCCCAAGTTGAGAAACTCGGTCCTAGCCTCCGCCAGTCACTAGAGAGTAACGATAGGGTTAATAGGGCGGGAGCATTAGGGAAAACTTTTAATTGGCAGAGACCATAAGCCAATCAGAAAGCAGGGACGCGGGTGGGGTACAACCGAATCCGCCCAGAGAAGGGAGGCTCTTTCATCCACCTCGCAGGGGGAGGTGTCCTGAGTGCTTCCAAGAGAAGGCCGGCGGGGCGGAGAAAGTCTTGGGTTTCTGGGGCCTGAGGAACCCTGGGTTCAAGTTCCGATCCTGAACCCCAAGCAGCCCAGGCTCCCGTTGGGCGGCTTAGGTTCAGCTGGAATTCGGCAGGCCCACCTCAGAGAGAGCGCGGTCTTTGTTGGAAAATGTGCGTCCTCTTTGAAGTTGCCAATTTTAGTTTAAGGTCCTTAAAGGTTTTTGTACCCAACGTTTCACGCCACTGGCCAGTTTTCTATTTTCTAGGCTAACGGTCCCTGCTGGAATTTGCGCCTCGCGTATCCTGGGGTTCTGATACCCTCCACCAGGCCTGAACTTGGGACCCACCGGCACCCCGTTCAGAGTGTCAGGGAGTATCAGAGATCAGAGATCTTCGAGCTCTACAACGCAGAAGGCACCAGAAACGTCTGGTCCTCAAGGGGCGCTTCCTTGTTGATCCATCCGTTGCCCGCTGGAGGAAGAGGAGCAGCTCTCACCCTGGGGCCCTCCGGCCTCCTAAGAACCACAAGTCCTCGAAGTCCCTTGCCGCGGGAGGTTCTTCCTGCCGTCTAACCTCAGGCGCCAGTTTCTTACCTGCTCAGCGGACCAGGTGGGTTTTGCCCAGAGACTGGGGACTGGCGGCGGAGGACAGTGGTGGGAAGGAACTGCGGGGAGCCCGAGGGGCGGGACGCCGGGACAGAAGGGGCGGCTCGGACTGGGGCGCCGCCCCTGCGCTCCGCGCACACCCGGAAGCAGCGCGAATCCAGTGGAGCCGAGCGGGCGTGGGAATCCAGGACGGGCCGAGGCGGTCAGGTTAGTGCGGAGGGTGGGTGGGCTTCCCGGTGCCGGCAGGAGCCGAGGTGGATCCTGGCTCGGAAGCATGGGCGCGGCGCGGTTGTCATCCGCGGCTGCTCGGGTCAGGTGGTGGTGGTGGCCTATTGGGCTGTTTCCGTGGGAGGCGGGAGAGAGGGTACGGACCTTGGTCCCCGAAAGTTCCTTGTCCCAGTTAGGGGATTTCAAGGGGCGGCAGGCCCCTGTGGGTGAGAGGATGGGGGGGGGGCTGTTTCTGAACAGATATTTGAGCAGAAACCCTTTGCCCTCCCCGGCCAGTAGCAAGAGCAGAACTCCAGAACGAGGGAGGCCGGGGAGCTCCCCTCGAGAGCTCGGGAGCGGCCCAGCTGAGTAAGATGCTGGGACTCTCAGCCTGTCAGTCCTTGAGGGGCCACGCCCGCCAGCAGGCAGTCACCGTCCACCTGGCCAGAGGTGGGGCTACCCGGGGACTGTTAGGCCGTGTTAATAGAACGCTGCACCGGCTGGCTCCCGGTCATAGGGGCATATTTTCTTGAGTCGGTACCCAGCTAAGAGTTCCTAGAACCCAGCCCGGCCCAGCCCGCAGAGAGGCGGACTCTGGATGGGTGGGGCGCGGGGCTTCCCGAGGAGGGGCTTCTTTGGAAGGACACGTAGAAAGGAGTTCCCAAGGGCGCGAAACGAGCCAAGGGCCCCGGCCGCTTCTCAAAAGTTATCTGTCCTTCTCGACCTCTAGCCCGGCAGGCCTGTTTGACTTCTCCCATTTGTCCAGTCGTAGTGAGTGTGAGGGAGCTTCCCACCTCCTCCAGGTTTTCAATGTCCCGCAGGTAGGCCTGCTGGGGAGACTACGGCCGGTACCACCCTTACTTACCCACCCCTTGGGGCGGGACTGCATCTACGGGGTTTACATAAAGTAGAATATTGCTAAATACAGTGAAAATAAAAATCACGCCAAGTCTCCCCCTTCCCCAACAGAGGTAAACAATGGTAACTTCCTGTTAATTTCCAGACTATGGTCTTGGGTAAACACACAAGTATTAATATGTTTTCTACCAAAAGATTATGGGGGGGGGGGGCTCAAAAGGTACATCCCTGTGCTCAGACGCAGGGTAGGGTTATCAAGTATCATTTTTCTTGCCAGGTCTGGGTGATGCTGGAGTGCCCCTTCCGAGGTACTGTCCCAGCTTTGGCTCTCACGGTAGGGTTTGGGGGCAGATCTGAAACACAGAATAAACAGAAATGATTTAGCTCACATAATGGAAAAGTCCAAGATGGGACACAGTGTGGTTAGGAGTGCACTTCTTCATCTCTTGGCTCTGTAGCCTCCTGTGCTAGTTTCATTCTCAGTCAGGCTCTTCCCAAGCAGTGGCAGAGGAGAACTACCCTTCCTTCTAGCTCAGCTTCAAGACAGGAAGGGAAACTTATGCCTCTTTCCTATTGATCCAGCCAAATTTGCAGGTTGATTCTGATTGGTCCAACTTGAATCCTATGCCCAACTCTGAACAAATCATTTCAGGAAGGTGAATGGAATATGCAGATTGGCTAGGCCTGTTTCACTTGCCCAGGCCTGGAGCTAGGGAGTGGAGTTAGCCCTTCCAACAGGCATTTGGATTGAGGCAAGGGAAGAGGGAAGGCCCCAGAGGTCAGTCAGGATTGCGGGAGGGAATCTGGGCAGGCGCAAACTACAGGTGTCCTTTGAAGTGAAGCCTGGAGATATAGTAGGTATTCAGGTCAGAAAACCAAAGTGGGGGCTGTGGTCCCACAGGGATCCTGGGGGCTCAAATTTAAGCTGAGGGCATACCATACCAGCCCATGGGTCTGGTTGTGCTGTGGGGCATGGGCACCATCCAGGATAAGGATGTCTCCAGTCAGCTTTGAAAAGAGAGACACTTGGGCTTCCCTGGTGGCGCAGTGGTTGGGGGTCCGCCTGCCGATGCAGGGGACACAGGCTCATGCCCCGGTCCGGGAGGATCCCGCGTGCCACAGAGTGGCTGGGCCCGTGGGCCATGGCTGCTGGGCCTGCGCGTCCGGAGCCTGTGCTCCGCGAGGGGAGGGGCCACAACAGTGAGAGGCCCGTGTACCGCAAAAAAAAAAAAGAGAGAGAGACACCCTGGCCTGAGGAGGGAGCAGAACTTCTTTGTTTCTACTGCAACATTGTCCCTCTCCTCTTCCATCCCTGTGACCCTGGGCTCTTTCTCTGAGAAGACAGTGGAGAGACAGTCCTCACTGAAAACCTTGGCTGGGCTGGGCTGGTTTGGGCTTCGTTGTGCAGAGCCAGAAGCACCAGGGGCTGCCTGTGGGATGATGAACTTACCCTCATAAGTATGCCAGCTGGGTAGGGACGGCTGGATGTCAGCTGAGGGGACAGCTCGGCCACGTGGGACTGGACAGTTGTCTCCAGAGCTGGGTTGGGGTGATCTGAATGCCTATCCCTGTCCCCAGGAGGCAAGATGGCGGCTGGGCCAAATGGGCTCGAGGAGTGGGTGGGCAGTGCCTACCTATTTGTGGAGTCCTCGCTGGACAAGGTGGTCTTGTCGGATGCCTATGCTCACCCACAGCAGAAAGTGGCAGTGTACAGGGCTCTGCAGACTGCCCTGGCAGGTGCGTGAGTGGGTGGGCACTTGGAGAGGAAAGGCCAGCCTGGGGCCTTTTGTGGGCGGGGCCAGGGACTGAGACCTCACCTCTTCAACTCTGTGGGCCTGTGCTTAACCACCACTTTAAGGAAAAGATTCGTTAGGGAAGGGAGGAGGAGGACGCCTGGTTGTGTAGGGTCTGTCTTTGTGTATGAACGTGTGCCCTTGGGTGTAGACTTGTGTCTCCTGTGTCTCTGTATGATCTATGTATGTGCGCACTAACGTCCCCCTGCTCCATGCCCCCCACTCCCCGGATCAGCCCGCTCACTGCTGTCTACTAATCGTGCCTCTCTCTTCTTTTCCTCTCTCACTGCAGCACTCCTTGCCCAAGACCCCCTCCCCAGTACCTACCTTTCGGGTCCCCTTTTCCCATCTCAGGGCAGAGGCCACTGGAGGTTGAAGCCAATAGGGGGACCTGGCTCCGGCCTCAGAGCGACGAGAGCCCCTCTCCTTCCAGGGCGGGGGGAGCCACACTAGGAGGCCGAAAACCTGAGACCTCCCGCCCCCTGTCCTGCCAGCCACCTACCCAGAGGGCTTGGCTGCCCAGGGCAAACGCCTCTTTCTACCCTGCAAAGTCTCTTGCACGTCCTTTTTGCCCACCCTCATTTGGGGCTTCAGGATTGGGGATAGAGTAGCACACACTCCATCCTAGGGTGCTCCCTGTGATAGGTCCTGGCCTTTATTCTGGGTTGTTGCTGTTTGCATCCCAATTTGCTTCCCAGCTGGGCGCTCTGGCGTATAGCCGCGCGCCCCTAGGTCTGGGGATGGGGAGGGCATCTTACCTGGGGCTTCATCCCTCCTCCGGCCTCTTGGAGAATGGCCCCGCATGGGGACCGCATGCCACCTGACTGCCCGCCTCCGCAGAGAGTGGCGGGAGCCCCGACGTGCTACAGATGCTCAAGATCCACCGCAGCGATCCGCAGCTGATCGTGCAGTTGCGTTTCAGCGGGCGCCAGGCCTGCGGCCGCTTCCTCCGCACCTACCGCGAGGGGGCACTGCGCGCCGCGCTGCAAGGGTGCTTGGCGGCGGAGCTGACCCTGCACTCCGTGCCGCTGCGACTGGAGCTGCGCGCCGGCGCGGAGCAGCTAGATGCCTTGCTGACCGACGAGGAGCGCTGTTTGAATTGCATCTTCGCCCAGAAGGTGCGGCCGGGCTGGGGCCAGGGTGGGGTGGGGATTCGCGGCTAAGACCCCCACCGACGCCGCACTCCCCTCCCTAGCCCGACCGGCTCCGGGATGAGGAACTAACAGAGTTGGAGGATGCGCTCAGAAATCTGACGTGCGGCTCGGGGGGCCAAGAGGGCGACGTGGAGGGCGCCCCGGCCCCCTCGCAGTCTCTGGCACCCTCTCCGTCGGAGGAGAAGCCACCGCCGCCGCCGCCGCCGTCTGGCCAGATTTTTCTGTTCCACGGTCAGCCTGTAGGTGAGACTCCCGGAGAGAAGCAGAGGCAGGATCCTCGGGAGGATCGAGTTTGGGGAGGGGCGAGGTCTGCGCGGGATAGTCGCGGGGTGGAAATGGAAGGGTGTACCGAGCTCACTCCGCTTCCCACTCCCCCTGCAGTGAACCGGCCGCTGAGCCTGCAGGACCAACAGACGTTCGCGCGCTCAGTGGGCCTCAAGTGGCGCAAGGTGGGGCGCTCCTTGCAGCGCGGCTGTCGTGCATTGCGGGACCCGGCGCTTGACTCACTGGCCTATGAATACGAGCGTGAAGGGCTGTATGAGCAGGCCTTCCAGCTGCTGCGGCGCTTCGTGCAGGCCGAGGGCCGCCGCGCCACGCTGCAGCGCCTGGTGGAGGCGCTCGAGGAGAATGAACTCACCAGCCTGGCAGAGGACTTGCTGGGCCTCGCAAATCCCCATGGCGGCCTGGCCTAGCCTGGGTACCAGAGAAAGGGGCAGTCGGCCAGTTGCCCAGCCAGGATTTGGAGCACCTGGGTGACTGTAGGGTCCCTTCTGCTGCTACTGCTGACCTCCTGTCCACCCACGGGACTCTGAGGCCACACTTACAACCAGAAATGACTGCCCTCTCCAGGAGTCAGACAAGCATCCACAATGTCTGCTGGGGTGGTGCCACTGGGGGTTCGGTTCTAGATACTCGGATAGAGACAGAGCGTATGGGTGACCTGCTGCAAGAGGTCGACCTCACCTTTTCCCACCGCAGAAGAGGGGCTTTCAGCCAGACCTTACCTCTTCATTCATAGAACAATTCATTACTATTCATTAATTCAATATAATTCATTAAGGACCTTCTGTATCCTAGGCATCATCCTGGGTGCTGCAAATACTGTGGTGAACAAAACACACGAATCCTGCCTGTCCCCAGTTCACACTCAGTCTGAGACTCTGAATATTCAGAAACAGTAATAAAATACTACCAGTTTTTTGATGTGAAAAATACAAGGAGTTGTGGGAGCAACTGAGCAGGGGCCTAACCCAGGTTAGGGGTTAGGCTTCCTGGGAGAGAAATGAGTGTGAATGTTGTGGGTGGTGGAATGAGAGAAGGGCAATATTCTGGGCATGGTCAGCCTCAGGTGAGGTCTTGAGGAGGGTGAGAGGAAGGGATTTAGAACAGAAGGTTTAGAGTGGCTGGATCTAGGGGTGGGTGGATTTGCAGAAACCCATTGGTGAGTGGGGGAGGCAGATAGCATGGGTCAGGTAAGCCAATTTACAGAGTTTGGATTTTATCTGGAGGCTAGTGAGAGGCCTTTAAAGGGTTTTGGCAGTTAAGGCTGGGAGGCTGGTGAGGATGCAGAGAGAGTGAAAAGACAGTGCCTCAGGCTGGGGCAGTTAGCAGCAGAGATGGAGGGAAGGGATGAACACTGAGTTAGGACAAAGGACAACAGGCCTGGTGACACTGAATGAGGGAGGTGGGAGAGGACTCCAGAGTTTCTGCCTTTGCCAGTTGGAGGGAAGGTGGAGCTGCCTGCCGAGATAGGGGCCCTGGGGGAGGTGAAGTGCTTGCTCTGTTTGGGACAAGTTGGGCATGATGTTCCTGCAGAACATCCAGGGAGAGAGTCCAAGGGTAGCTGGACCTATAGTTTTGAGTTCAGGAGAGTGTGGAGGCCCAGGACTCAGAAATGTACAGGTGGGAGTGGGTGGGGTGGCCCAGGGGGCGGTCCTGAAGGTCACCAGCCAGAAAAAAGAGCAACCCAAATTGGAAGGAGGAAAACCAGATTTGGAAGCCAGGGGAATATACCCACCCGCTGTGGTGGAGGCTGCAAATCTGTCAAAGCTGCGCAGTGTCCACTGCAGTCAGGGAAAAGGTTACTAGGTGGAGGCTGTTTCTGGGACATGGTGTGGACAGCCTGAAACCAGACCACAGGAGGGATGGGAGGTGAGGCAGCAGAGACAGCCGGAGTAGAGGACTCCTGAGAAGTCTGTGACCGGGAGAGTGAGGCTCAGGTCGGAGGGTTTATTTTGTAAGGGAGAATATTGGTGGGTAGAAGTCAGAAAGCACAGCCACAGCCACTGGAAAGAGGACGGCACTGGGTAGCAGTGCTGGTTCTCACAGTCTGCCCTCAGAAACTCTGGGGTGGGGTGGGGCGGGGCGGGGTGGGGTGGGTGTTGTCTACTCCAGGCCCCACTGCATGGCTGGGACCTGGAGGCTCTGAGTTCCAAGAAGAGAGAGGTGGCAGCCAGAGCTGGGCAAGGCCTGGGCCCCAATCTCCAGAGCGCCTCTCTGCCCGCCTGTGTCCACATCAAACCCTTTGCTCACTGGTCTGCTTCAGGAGTCCCCCAAGCTAAACCAATCCCTGCCAGCCCTACCTGGCCTGCAGTGGGCCCAGGCTTGGTTATTTCTTCCTGCAGGAGGTGATGATGGCCCGGGGCACTAGTGACTAAAGAACTCAGAACTGCCTCTGGAGAGACAAACTGAAGTGCTCACCTGTGAAGTTAAAGCAGACAGGGTTGGCCCCCCTCTCCTGCATCCAAGTGGATGGATAGGGAGAGGGGCAAGGGAGGACAGAGGAAAGAGTCTTGGACTGAATTCCAGAAGATCTGGGACAGTGCTCTTACCTTCTGCCTGTACGATCCTGGGCAAGTCACTTAACTCCCTGAGGGGCAGCGTCCCCATCTGGGCATGATCAATGACAGCTGCTGCCAGGGTTGTGAGAATTGCGCACGCAGTTTTGTTGGTCCTTGTGTGCGTGGTGTGTCTGCTGGCGGGCATGGTAGAGCCAGGAGAAAAGAGGCAGCCATGTATCCGGGGCACTTTTTGGACCCTGTCTTGCGGAACCAGGGCTCCTGGAAAGCTGAGGAGAGGCACTTCCAAGGATGGCCTGGGAGGGGTCGATGCCAAGCCCTCCTGCACTGGGGCTCCTGCCCAGCCCAGGCCCTTTCTGCTCCGGAGAGGCAGGGGTGGGGAAACTAACCAGAAAGGTTAGTGCTTCTTCCCGTCCCCCGGAAAGGCAGAATTGGGAAGTTTGAGCCTGCACGGAGACCAGAACTCACCTCTTTGAGCTTCCCAGAGAGAGCTGACCGTGAGGGTCCCTCTCAGAGATTAGTCTCCACTCGGAGACAGCGCTCCGGCAGCGCCAGGGCGGAGCTGACTGAGCTCCAGATGTCCGGGCGCACACAGCTGTAGGGTCACGTGGCAGCGGCCCCGGCCCCCCTTCCTGCCAACGTTGCATTTGGCCCAGGCCCCGTCCATGGCCGCCCTTGGGACCCCGCGCTGAGCCCCGGAGGCCCCGGCATCCGGGGCCACGCCGCTCCCAAGGGCTGAACGTGTATCAGGATCCCAAGGACCGCCGTGGTGGGTAGGGATGGGTAGAAGGGATTCGGCCTCAGCGCGGGAAGAGGGTGGGGCCGAGGCTCCGCGTCTCCCTGTTCTGGCTCTGCGGCACCGTGCTAGGCCGGAGCTGAGAGGGTGGGAGTCGGCTATTAGGAGGAACTTCTTGCCCTTACAGGGTGCCCATCCCGGTGGGGGGTCAGGGCCCAAAGTAGGAGGACAACGGAGGGGGATGAACAGCCGGCAGCTGGAGACCCCAGGCGTGTGGCCTCCCGCGCTCTACCCCCGGGGAGGGCGGGGCCGGAGCCCCTGCCGGCTGCTGGCTTCCTTGTCTTGAGCCCCTGACTGAGTCTCTCCGCAGGGGCCGCGGGCGCCTGCCAGGCGGACATGAGGCGGAGGCTGCGCCTACGCGGAGAAGCGTCGCTCACGCTGCTCCTCGGCGCCGCCCTCGGCCTCCTGCTCTATGCGCAGCGCGATGGCGCGGCCCCGACGACGAACGCGCCGCGAGCTCAAGGGAGGGCGGCGCCGGGGCCCACCCCGGGGCTCCGTGTATTTCAGGCGCCGGACGCGGGCGCAGCCCCGCCGGCCTACGAAGAGGATACGCCGGAGCCGCCCACGCCCATGGGACCTTTTGACTTTGGCCGCTATCTTCGAGCCAAGGACCAGCGGCGCTTCCCTCTCCTCATTAACCAGCCGCACAAGTGCCGAGGAAATGGCGCACCCCCCGGCGGACCCGACCTGCTCATCGCCGTCAAGTCGGTGGCTGCGGACTTCGAGCGGCGCCAAGCAGTGCGCCAGACGTGGGGTGCTGAGGGTCGCTTGCAGGGGGCGCTAGTGCGCCGGGTGTTTTTGCTGGGCGTGCCCCGGGGCGCGGGCACAGACGGGGCAGACGCGGAAGGGGCGGGCACTCGAACGCACTGGAGCGCCCTGCTGCGTGCTGAGAGCCGTGCGTACGCGGACATCCTGCTCTGGGCCTTCGACGACACTTTCTTCAACCTAACGCTCAAGGAGATACATTTTCTGGCCTGGGCCTCCGCCTACTGCCCCGACGTGCGCTTCGTCTTTAAGGGCGACGCCGACGTGTTTGTGCACGTGGGAAACCTGCTGGAGTTCCTGGCGCCAAGGGACCCGGAGCAGGACCTGCTTGCAGGTGACGTGATAGTGCAGGCGCGGCCAATCCGCGTGCGGGCCAGCAAGTACTACATCCCTGAGGCTGTGTACGGCCTGCCCGCCTACCCGGCCTACGCAGGCGGCGGCGGCTTCGTTCTCTCGGGGGCCACGCTGCGCCGCCTGGCCGGTGCCTGCGCGCAGGTTGAGCTTTTCCCCATTGACGACGTCTTTTTGGGCATGTGTCTACAGCGCCTGCGTCTCACGCCTGAGCCTCACCCTGCTTTCCGCACCTTTGGCATCCCTCGACCTTCAGCCGCTCCGCACCTCCACACCTTCGACCCCTGCTTTTACCGCGAGCTGGTTGTAGTGCACGGGCTCTCGGCTGCTGACATATGGCTTATGTGGCACTTGCTGCACCGGCCGCACGGGCCAGCCTGTGCGCGTCCATGGCCTGTCGCTGCGGGTCCCTTCCAGTGGGGCCCCTAGCCACCTGTCACAGCTCTAAGCCCCCCTCATTCAGACCCAGGAGGTAAGTGGGAGGTAGCTTGAAGGGTAGGTTTCCCAGGCGGATTAGTGCTGTGTATGTGGTTCTTCCCCAGAAAGGGGCATCCAGGTGTCTTCCTCCAGAAGGTCCCAGGGAGTGAAGATTGAGGTTGGTTCCTGCTG